GGCCTTCCCTCCTCGCACCCCGCTCCCGCCATGAAATGTCCCCTGGGGGGCCCGGGCAGGCCCTGTGCTGCTCCCGAGGGCGCGGTGGGAGCCAGGGCCCTGCCTGGGCCTGAGAGGGTGGCTTTGGGGGGGGGCTCAGCAGAGCCGAGCCGGCCGCTGAGGGGTGTCCCCGGCGCTGTGGCAGGTGGAGGTGGATGAGAACGGGAAGATCATCGACGCCCGTTTCAAGACCTTCGGCTGCGGGTCGGCGATCGCCTCGAGCTCGCTGGCAACGGAGTGGGTCAAAGGGAAAACGGTAAGGGCCGGCCTGGAGTCGGAAAGCCTTGAAAGCCTTGAACCTGCCTGTCTTCTCCGTTGGAAACGGTGGCGTAGGAATCCCAGTCCTGACTGTACCGTAGCCTGCAAAGCAGCGACTGTCGGCCCTGTTCGTGGCCTGACTTCTGGGGCAAAAGTTGCCTTTTCCGAGAATCTCTTAATCTGCAGGGAAGTCCTTTGTGTCTTACACAGCCACCAAAATCATGCTGAGCGCAGATTGGGGAAGAAGGTTGAGCTGTGGAGCGCCTTTAGATCGTTTAGATCTCTGTTTCTGCCAGATGAGCAATGCGCTTCTGTGTTAGGATGGAGGATGAGCAGACTGGGAGCAGCTCAGTCCGTGACGCTTGGTGGGCTTTGGGTCATTCCCACCACTGCTCGGTCGCAGACATCCCTTAATCCCGGCAGCCTTTGCTGCTCCTGGCCGTGGGGAATGTTCTTCCGTGGGGTTCCTGGAGCGTTACAGCACGCTTAGCAGCTGCCGTTGTTGTGCCCCACGTCCCCAGTGACCCCCCACTGGCTGCCTTGCAGGTTGACGAAGCGCTGCAGATCAAGAACACGGACATTGCTAAAGAGCTCTGCCTGCCGCCTGTCAAACTGCACTGCTCCAGTAAGTACTGCCTGAGCGGTGGGAGCTCCAGCACGAGCTTATGTTGGAGAGGGAGGCTTCTGGGAACGGTGCAGGTGCTTCCCAGTGTTGCTTTCCTGCTAAAGTTGCTGCACAAGGAACAGCTGAGGTCGGCCCACCAGAGAAATGTTCACATTCTGGGGTTATTTCAAAGAGTTTTCAGGTCTTTTTGTTTTTTCACCTTTCGGACTCTGTAGCTCAGCAGACCGATAGAGAAGGGTTCTGTGCCTTCTGGGGGTTCCTCTTTTCCAGGGGAGCGTTTCCATAGATTTCCAAAACAAACACAAAACTCATTTGAAAACTTTGCCGGCTCTTAGGAGTATTTTTTTTTTTTAAACCACCTGAGAAACTTGCCTTTTCTCATACCCAAGATATTTTAAAAACATTAAAAACCTCCTTTAAAAATAAGTAGCTCGTTCGGCTACATCTGCCCACGACTTTTTTTTTTTCGAACATAGCGCAGGCCACGTGTTGCTGCCGCTGTGGCTTGTCACTCCCAAGGTTTGTCACTACCCCTGGGATGGCGGGTGCTGCCGGCTGCTCTCAAATTTGACGGCGTTTTGTGGCCTGAAGGGTGTTTCGTTGGCCTTGAAACGCTTGTTTTGTCCCCAGTGCTGGCTGAAGACGCCATCAAGGCTGCCTTGGCCGATTACAAGTTGAAGCAGGACCCGAACAAAGCAGAGGCGGAGGGGAAAGCCAACAACGCCTGAGCTGCCTGTGAAAGCTTGTTCTCATTCCACCTCAACCTGCCGTGCAATGACCGTAGCTGTTAGTAGGACCCTGCGCACCGCTCGGACGCTGTAAGATACGCACAACTTACGCACAACGTGTCACTGGGTGTACAGCCACTCCCGCAGTGCTGACACGGCTGGGGCGGGGGTATTTCCCCTCCCCACCTCCCCTCACCGCTGTTTGAAACGTTCGGAGCGAGGCAGACTGCTCAGCTGCAGAGGACTCGGGGGTTTCTCTCAGGAGAGAGAGAATCCTGCTGTTCCGGTACTGGAAGGGCTGCACTTTTTTTTTAGAAGATGTATAGTTTTGCCTAATATTTGACAGAATTTAGTGGGAAGCGTTGCCTTGGTCTTCATGTTGCTGTAAGAACCGCAGGTGGGGCTGTGTGTCGATGCAGTACACCAACTCCAGCCGTGTCGGGGGTTTCATTTCACAATCTGCACCCCAGTTTCCTCCTCCCCGGGCACTGGGACGCCTCGGCGGGCACCAGAGGGCACTGGCAACGCGCTGGTGGTGCGGGAGGAGCCGGCGGGGGGGCTGGGTGTCACCGCTGCGGGAGGAGCAGACTCGGGGCTGGCGGGGCTCCTGCTCGCCTCCTCTCACCGCTAACGCTTGCTTAGTTTTTTGGAGCTCACGTTTGAGGAGCAATCTTTTAATTTTGGAGCGTTTTCTGTAAGAATTCAACCTTTACACCGGCGGAGTACTCGGTTAAAGGAGAGTAAATAAATACACCTCGGGGCTGAGCCCAGGAGGGGAGTAGCACAGCTGGGGTGTGGAGCCGAGGGGAAGCTCCCAGGGGTCGGTCTGGGGACGATGCCTCTGCCTCCCGCGGGGCGCAGCTCGGCCGAGCTTTGCCGGAGGCGTGAGGGGAGCGTGGCTGACCCTCACCTGCTCGGGGCTCTGCGAGCTGAGGGCGGGTGGGAGCTGGGGGCACCCCAGCCTTTGAAAGTTAAATGCTTGGTGGTGCTCTGGCGTGGCTTCCCCTCTGTGCTCCAGGCCGCTGCGCTCTCCTGTGCCTTCTAGGGGTTCCTCTTTTCCAGGGGAGCATTTCCATAGATTTCCAAAACAAACACAAAACTCGTTTGAAAACTTTGCCGGCTCTTAGGATTATTTTTTTTTTAAAACCACCCGGGAAACTTGTCTTTTCTCATACCCAGGATGTTTTTAAAACATTAAAAACCTCCTTTAAAAGTAAGTAGCTCGTTCGGCTACATCTGTCCACGACCTTTTTTGTGAACATGGGGCAGGCCACGTGTTGCTGCCGCTGTGGTTTGTCACTCCCAAGGCCGCTCTTGCGGCCCCTCAGCTCGGCACCACCCCACGTGCCAGACGCTGGCCCTGCGCCTCCGGCCGCCCTCCTCCCGCAGCGGGGAATGTGCCTCCGCTCCCTGGGAACAGCCCTGCGCCTTCCTGCTTAAAAAAAAACAATCCAACAAAAATCAGGGAAACTTCATGTCAGTTTTGGGGCAGAATTGGCTCGTTGTGCTCACGAGAGCCCTTCAAAAAAAGTGCGAGAGGGAGGTCAAAGCCGGCACGTTCTTCCAAGGGGGAAGATTGTCCTGTTGCTGGGACACAGGGGCACATCCCTACCTGTATGGTGGCTGGGACAAGATTTGGGGTTATGGGGGTATGGGGGTGTGTTGCCTTCGAGGTGACACCACG